GACAACCTCCTACTGAAGGACAAACAGAAACACGGGAGGTCTAGAGATAACTGGATTAGACAGGAAAAGGGACTGTGTGTCAGGGGTCAGGTGATGGAAAAAATGTGTGCCAAGGTGAAGAGGCCAGAGAAGTGCAATTTCCTTTTTTTAAAACATACTATGGGTCTGGCTAGGGAGACAGGTGAGGGGTGAAGCTGGAGAGGTAGGCAGGGGCCAGGTCTCAGGGGGTAATGGAGAGCAAGTGAGGGTATGGCTCATTAGGAAGCCACTGTGGTAACCTAGGAGGGTGGCCTTGGGCCCCAGAGAGATGTGACAGAGGGGATGTCATTCAAATGTCCAAGTGTCTGAGCACTAGCATGCAGTAGGCACTATTCCAGGTGCTAGGGACACATCAGGGAGCAAGAAGAAATCTGCCGTCATGGAGCTTCCATTTTAGTCAGGGAAATAAGCATATGGATACACAAATATGTAATATCCAGCACTGATAAATATTGCAGGGCAGGGGGAAAGACAGGACAAAGTGTATTCATTTGCTAGGGCCTGCTGTAGCAAAGTATCACAGACCAGGTGGCTTATACAACAGAAATGTATCTCCTCACAGTGCTAGAGGTTAGAAGTCCAAGATCATGGTGTCGGCAGCGTTGGTTTCTTCTGAGGCCTCTCTCCTTGGCTTGTAGACAGTCATCTTCCCTCTGTGTCTGTGTCCTCATTTCCTCTTCTTACAAGGATTCCAGTCATATTGGATTACAGCCCACCCATATGACATCATTTACCTTAACTACCTCTTAAAAAGCCCTATCTCCAAATATATTGCACCTGAGGTACATTCAGTCCTCAACATCATTGATAGGTTCTTGGAAACTGTAGCTTTAAGTAAAACAACGTATTAGAAAACCAGCTGTTTTTCTCATCAATGGTATAAGGCAGCGATGTTGAACAAAACACAATGTTATTCAAGGATCTGCTATATGTCCTTTCACTGAAAGTCAACATTTCCAAGAGCCTATTGACAGCGTCAAGTGAGGACTTACTGTACTAGGGGTTAAGATCTCAACATATGAATTTTGGGGGGACACAATTCAGCCCATGACAGAAGGTGGCTGAGTGTACCTAAGGCAGGAGGTAGAAGGAGGGCCTCTCTGAGATGACAATGAGCTGAGATCTGAATGAAGAGAGGGAGCTAGCCACCCAGATGTCTAGGAGAGCATTCCAGGCACAGGAACAACTTGTGCTCACCCCTCAGGGCTACTCGGCATACTCCATCTTCAAGGATAGTAAGAATGGGATAGGATGATGGGAAAAAGGGAGATGTTAGTCAAAAGGTACAAAGTTTCAGTTACACAGGAGAAATGTTTTTGTGATCTAGTGCACAGCATGGTGACCATAGTTCATAACAGAATACTGTTGTCTTAGTCTATTTTATGTTGCTGTAACAGAATACCACAGATGCAGTAATTTGCAATGAACAGAAATTTATTCTCTCATAGTTCTGGAAGCTGAGAAGTCCAAGATCAAGGCACCAGCAGGTTAGGGCCTGGTCTCTCTGCTTCCAAGATGGTGCCTGTTGCTGCATCCTCCAGAGAGGAGGAACACTTTGTCATCACATGGCAGAAAAGCAAAAGAGAAGGAACCCGTTCCTGCAAGCTCTTTTAGTAATGGCAAATTAATCCATTAAACATCCCCGTTAGGCTCCACCTTCCAGTAACATTGTGCTGGGCACTAAGTGTCAACATAAAATTTGGAGAAGACAAAAGCACTCAAACCACAGCGACTGTATACCTGAAATCTACTAAAGAGTATATCTTAAACATTTTCACCACAAGAAAGTGATAAGTAGATGAAGTGATGGATATGTTAATTAGCTTGAGTTAATAATTCCCTCATGCATACATATATCAAAACATCACATTGTACTCCATAAATATACACAATTCTTATCTGTCAATTAAAAAGAAAAGAAAAAGTTTGTATTACAAAAAAAAAAGCAGAACGGTAAGATGGCTCGTATGGCTGGGGTGCAGAGAGATGTCACAGGACCGTGAGGGCATTATGACTGGCCCTTAGTTTGAGATGGAAAACCAATGGGGAATTTTGAGCAGAAGAGTGGCATGATCTGACTTTGTTTTAAAGGCAACACTGCATTGAGAATAGATGGGCAGAGAAGGGAAGGGCAGAAAAAGGAAGACTAGTTATGAGGCCTTTACAATAGTCCAGGTAAAAGATGACACTGGGACTAAGACGGTAGCAATGGAAGTCTTGGGACATGGTCAATTCTGGATATAGTTTGAAGAGAGATACAACAGGAGTTACTGATGTAGTAGAGGTAGGATATGAGAAAAAGAGGGGAGTCAAGAGCAATTCTAAAGTTCTTGGCCAAAGCAACAGGGTGAATGGTGGTGCCATTTACCTAGATGGGAAAGCCTGTGGACGGAGTAAGTTTGAAAAGGCCCAGAAATTGAGACTTTATTGTGGACAATGGGAAGTTTGATACCTATTGTGTATCTTAAACACCCAATAGAGACATTGACTAGACTGTTGGAAATGAGACTGGAATTCACAGGGAAAGGTCTAGGTGGAAGGTATAAATTTAGCAGATATTGTGTAAATATTTAAAACTGGAATTTTTTTTTTTTTTTGAGACGGAGTTTTCACTCTTGTTGCCCAGGCTGGAGTGCAACGGCGCGATCTTGGCTCACTGCAACCTCTGCCTCCTAGGTTGAAGTGATTCTCCTGCCTCAGCCTCCCAAGTAGCTGGGATTATAGGCACACTGTACTCCATAAATATACACATAAATATATAGCCTCCCAAGTAGCTGGGATTACACCACATTGTACTCCATATAGTAATTTTATAAAATATAATAATGCTTGTATTTTTAGTAGAGACAGGTTTAGTAGAGACAAGGTTTTGCCATGTTGGCCAGGTTGGTCTCGAACTCCTGGCCTCAGGTGATCTGCCTGCTTTGGCCTCCCAAACTGCTGGGATTACAGGCGTGAGTCACCATACCTGGCCTCAAACTGGAAATTCTTGAGATCACCTAGTGGGTGAGTATAGGGGAAAAGGTAGAAAAAGGGTCCAAGGAGTAAGCCCTGGGATACCCCAACACTTACAGATTAGAAAAAGGTAGATTCAACAGGAACAAAGTTGAGAAACTGGAGGAAAACCAAGAGAGCATTTGTCCTAGAAGCCCATGAAGGAAATAGTCTAGGAATACTGATGAGAAGCTTAGTAAGAAGAATGAAAATTGGCTGTTGGATTTACCACACAGAGGCCATTGATGATTTTGACAAGAGCAGTTTCCATGGAGTGGTGGGGGTGAATACTTAATTGTAGTTGGTTCATGAGAGAACTGGAAGGGAAGCATCAGAGGTAGCAACTCTTTTGAGGAGTTCTGCCATAAAGGGGAGAAGGAAAAGAGAACAGCAGTTCAAAGATGCAGAGAAAAAAGTTTAAGACAGGAGATTTTACCGCATATTTGTATTGCTAATAGAATAATTGGTCAGGAAAAGAATGGACAATTCAGAAAAAAGATAATAGGAGTCAATGTAAAGCTAGAGGGTTGGGCTTGGATAGGAATAGGGTTGGTTCATTCTTAGTAAGAGGAAGGAAGGCAGGCTATAAAAGCACCAATGCAACCGGGTTAGCAGATTTGGTGGTTGGGTGTTGGGGGATATGGAAGTTTTCTTCTGATCTCTTTTAGTTTCTTAGTAAAATAAGAAATACAGCAACCAGCAGACTGAGGATGGAAAGGGGATACTGAAGATTGAGGATAAAGATATGTGAATAGATTAAAGAAATAAACAGGTAGTATTGATAAAACTTAACTGATTAGACATAGGAAAATGTAAGACAAAGAAAACAAAGACAGATTTCTGATTTGGCAACTGGGTGGACAGTGGAGGTGTCTTTCATTCAGATAGGGAAGTGTGTGGGAGAGGCAGATCTTGGAGGAGAGGGGGTTGATTCTAACATGGCAAGTTTTGTGCCAGTGAAATCCAAGTGGGCAAAAGTGTCTGAAGCTCAGAAGAGAAACCTGAGCTTGAGATATCTCAGCTCCCTGATCTAGAAGTTGTCAATATTAAGATAGTAGGAAGTGGAGAGGCTTTTGTGGTTGCTGTTTTCTCCGAGAGGTAAAGTGACTGGTGGTTTGAAATCAGAGAAGGGTTGAAATAGATTCTGGAGAAGAACGGGAACATTGACAAGGAGATAGGGGGATCATCAGGTACTCTTAGGGGGCACAGTTAAAGGTGGAGCTCTTATGTTCAGTAGTTCCGGTCCTACCATTGCAGAGCCCTGGGGCCCGCATTTGTTTCTGGAACTAAAACCACCAGGGGCCCAGTGTCCTTCCTGCTTCTTCCTGCTGGGCCTCCACATCCGGGTTCCATCTTACCACCCAGCAATGTTCCTTGACCTTGAAGCCTATCCTTTACCTACATGCAACATGCTTTCCTCCTTGCTTTCCTGGTTAACTCCTACCCACCTTTCTCTACTCAGATCAGGCCAGGACTATCTCAGAAGCCTTCTTTGACTGTTCCCCACATCCCCTGCCATGTGAGCAGGAAGTTTCTTCTCTATACCCAAATAGCCCCTCGAATATCTATTACAGCATAAAACATACTGCACTGTATCACTGATCTACTCAGCTGCCTGACCCACTGGACTGCAACAACTTAAGGGCAGAATGTTTTCACCTTTATAATGATCGCTAATTAGTAGGTAGCTCAATACATGTGAAATTAATATAGGAGAAAAGAACTAAAGTCCAAAACCAACACAATTCTATAGGGTCATGATGTTCCCAGCCCGTGTCACACACAGATGCTTCTAACCTTAGAAACCAACTCACAAAATAGAGAAATATCCTTTTGGTCTCAATATTATACCCCTTTTCCTTTCAGGAAGAAACCTTAATATACCCACAGAAAGAAAATATCCTTACCTTATATTAAAGTACATTACCCCTTGCTCTCTCCTCTTCCCAAACACAAAAAGCAGGAGGCATTGTATAAAGGCACTTTATTTTAAAATCAACATATCCTGCTTGTATAAATCAGTTACTCTCTATTTCCAACTTCCATCACCTGAGTTTGAGAGCAGAGTGCGTGGTATTCTCCTGGGCTTAAGGTATAAACTGACATGGCGTTCAAGAACACGTCCAACGGGCAGAGCCTATCGGGGCAACCTCTCGGCACTTGCTCCTGTGGAAGAGACATAACTCAGCGGGTCCACCAAGGAGCCTGTCCTTCTGCTATTTCCAGCTGAGCCCAGAGATCTGAGAGGCTCTGACCCACGTGGTATATGTGTGCATACATGTTACAGACAGGAAGGCACCACTACCCGGTCAGCTTCCAGAATAAAAGTACTATGCTCTGCTTGTAAAAGTCACTCAAAAAGTGTTGAATTGACTGGGAAGAAACAGTCAAGTTACATCCCTGAGCTGGGAGAGCCCTGAACAGGCTCATCCCTGGGGCGTGCTCCGGCCTCTGCCCTGGACCCCAGCCCTGATGAAGCAGCCAACACCATGGGTGCTAACAGCAGCACACATCACCTCCCAAAGATACCATTAACAATCTGCAAAACAGGCCTCACAGCCAGGAGGCTACATCCTGACAGGGACACTCAGGAGAAGAGGAGGGGGACCCTGTTCCTAGAAGGAGTCCGTAACAGAACTGAGATAAGGCCCAAGCCCCATCCTGCCACCATCTGTCAAGTTCTGCCTGACCCATGGGCATAGCCAGGAGTTGCCCTATAGGATTTAGAGAGCTGACTGTGCCGAGGGAGACTCCACTGGGCCTGAGGAGGGGAACTTGGTGCTAACTCAGGTGGGTGGGTTTTGTGGGAGGGCGCCTCACCACCACCCAACCCCACCTCAGGGGTATTACCTTCCCATGGTAATAGAGCTGCACAAACCACTCCTTAGATTCCAGGTGCTGGTAGAGTTCCATGGTCAGGTCAACAGCAAACGGTGGCCATTTGTGGTCAAAAATCCCCAGGGTCATTAAGAGTGGTATGAAGGTCACATCATGAGCCGCATAGAGATACAGCTTTCTGCAAGAGGAAACCGCTCTCCACAGTTCTCTACCTCAGGACTCTGAAGGTCAGGATGTGGCCTGCCTCCTTTAAGTAAGACACACTTGCCTGAGAAACCAGGTGACATCTAGAAATCAGCTGAGCCTGGTATAAAACTCCTTTGCAATAGATCGTGGGAAGAACCCTTGTTCCCACTCCCTGTGTCTTCATGAGGAGGGTCTCTGCCAGAGAAACTCTCCTGGCCTCCTCCTTGCCACCCACTCACTCCTCCCTGGTGAGTTTCAAAGAAGAAACTGAGCATGTCTGGCTTAGGCCCTACCTCTCTTCTCTCTTTGGGTCCTGCCAGCCTACATGAATGCTCTTCCTACTCTCAGTCATGGGATGAGTTTAGTAGGGCAAGGTGTGCTCCTTGTTGGGGAGGCTTAAAGTTTTGGGGTATTAAGTTTATTTCAAAAGAATATTCATAAGCCCATTTGGCCCTCAGCACATTCTCCAAATGGCTTTAATCTGTAATAAGAATGCCATTTTAATCTACATCTGCCTGACACCAGTATCCATCTCTTAGGAAAGACCAAGGATTTTATTTATGAACCCCCATCCTAGAAGACTAGCATTGGATCCTGTGGTATTCTAAAGATCCAAGGCAGAGGGTGGCAAGGTGGCAAAAGCCAGCAAAAATGTACTGTCATTGCAGGTACTGTGAAGGATAGGAAATGGCATTCACAAGATTTGCTATTACAAATCCTGGCCCAAAGTTCCTGTTTCAACTCACTGTCCCCTATTCCTCTTATGCCATCATGAGCTTCTAGCTGTGCATAATACCACAAGAGTGCTTCTCCAAAATTCAGGTGAATATCAATCACCCGGGGATCTTGTTCAATTGCAGATGCTGATTCAGTAGATCAGGCTGGAGCCTGAGAATCTGATGAGTTCTTGGGCAATGGTGAAGCTGTTTGTCTGCAGACTGCACTTAGCAAGTGCCTAGGACACATAATATTCCACAGCCGTAGTCCCAACCTCGGATTCAAGGCTACAAAAGTGGCAATGGAAGCTCATGAGCCACTTCCAACATTTTTTTTTTTTTTTGAGACAGAGACTCGCTGTGTCACCAGGCTGGAGTGCAGTGGCATGATCTTGACTCACTGCAACCTCTGCCTCCTGGGTTCAAGCAACTCTCCTGCCTCAGCCTTCCGAGTAGCTGGGACTACAGGTGCATGCCACCACACCCAGATAATTTTTATATTTTTAGTAGAGCTAGGTTTAACCATGTTGGCCAGGATGTTCTCGATCTCCTGACCTCATGATCACTTGCCTCGGCCTTCCAAAGTGCTGGAATTACAGGCGTGAGCTACTGCGCCCGGCCACTTCCAACATTTTTAAATGCCTTGTGGATATCATACCTTCTTTACACTCAATGAAAGTGGTTCAAACTACACAATTCATTAAGCAATTATCTTTGTTTTGGACTATTATCATATCGAATCAGTGTCACATCATAATTGGCTATTGTTTGACATATCTTCAATTAATAAAAAAAGAAGAGAGAGAGAGAAAGCAAAAGGAAATTTGAGGTTCTTTTCACTAAAATAAAATTTTCAAAACATGGTAGGAGGGATGCAGCAGGAAGAAAGGTTAAAAGATTGTGAACCTTTTTGAGACTTGGGGCCTGTTAAACATCTACCTTTGGTCACTGAAAGCCTGATTCTTGCCTCCCTAAGATCTGAGTTCCCTCCCTGCAGCCAGAAGTCCCCACGGCCCTTAGCTGCACAAAGCAGAGTTGTTGTGCCAGGTACCTGATGTTATTGGGTGCAGTGGCAGAATCCATGGCTCTCAGCAGGTTGCCCTCCAGGATATGGAGGAATGGGCCTACTGCCATCTGAAGACTTTCCCTGTGAAAAGTGAACAACATTTAAGCACCTAGAGGGCACTCAGCATTCAGGGGACACAGATTGATTCTGCCCCCAGGACCTCATGAGTCCAATCAGACAGAGCTGAGAAAAAGGCAAGTAATGTATAAGGGCTAGCAATGGGCCAGAAGGAGAGAAATGGCACTGAGTCTGGTCTTGGGGTCCTCTGTGAATAAAGACTCCCCACAACACAAGCACCAGCACACAGACCTGTTGTGAACACAACTGAGATGGGAGGGGCTGAGGGAGTAGGAGGGTGATAACCTGGATAAGCCGTGACCAACTAGGCCTTGAGGAATCAAAGAACAAAGTTGACAAAGCTAGGAAGGAGAAGGGGTAATAATTTCCAGGAATTCTAGAAGGCCCTTAGAAAAACAATCAGAAGTAACAAGAACATCCTAAATTTTGTTTCCTATGTGTCAGCCTTCCTTCTTTTGGAGTTTAGACCATAAGGTCATTTCTTATTTATGTCTTATTTATTTTACAGAAGAGGTTCAGTGGTTGTGCTCCCGGGCTTGGCTCTGCGGCTTCACCACTTTCATTCTCAGGCCTGTCACATCACGACCACAGGTGACTACTGCAGCTTAAAGCACATTCACTCACAGTAGTGAACAAAGTCCACTTACTATAGAAGACAGAAATGTTTCTCATCTACTCATCCTAGCAGCTGATTAGCTTCCATGGAGCCTTCAGGGGCCAGTCTTCTCCTTGTTTTTGTGCTTCTTACTTTTTATCAAAGAGAAAAAAATACCCCTCCTAGAATTTCCAGAACCCAGTTACTGACAAATGAAAACAAGGTTGCCATGACTGGCTTAGACAAATCCTTATTCGTGGTGATTGGGTAAATCCATCTTTATAAGTCAAGGAATGTTGCGGCAATGGATGAAGAACAGGCAACCAATACTGTATGCAACATATACTTTTCAGAAGAATATATACAGGCAAAGCCAAGTTGTATGACCTTGTGAGGTTGTAACCATTTGTCCTTGAAGAAATGTTAGTTTTATAAAATCAGGGCTAATTGGAATGGAACAGACAAGGTCCTGTTTAAAGTGATTTTTTTTTTTTTTTTTTTTTTTTGAGATGGAGTCTCGCTTTGTCGCCCAGGCTGGAGTGCACTGGTGCAATCTCGGCTCACCGCAAGCTCCGCCTCCCGGGTTCACACCATTCTCCCGCCTCAGCCTCCAAGTAGCTGGGACTACAGGCACCTGCCACCACGCCCGGCTAATTTTTTGTATTTTTAGTAGAGACGGGGTTTCACCGTGTTAGCCAGGGTGGTCTTGATCTCCTGACCTCATGATCCGCCCGCCTCAGCCTCCCAAAGTGCTGGGATTACAGGTGTGAGCCACTGCGCCTGGCCTGTTTAAAGTGATTTACACCAGAATAAAGCAAACTACACCATAGGCCAAATTTGACCAGTTTTGGTAAATAAATTTTACTGGCACATAGTTGTGTCTATTTGTTTGCATATGGTCTTTGGTTGCTTCATGTTACAAGGGCAGAGATGAGTAGTTTTAACGGAAATTGCATGATCCTCACAGCTTAAAATATTTACTAAATATGTGTGTGTGTGTGTGTGTGTGTGTGTGTATTGATAAAGGAGAAGGCAGTAAGTAACAACTTAGGTACGGTGGGGCCCCTGCACAAACAGAAAAGGGAAGCTGGCAAGTCCCAGGGAGTGGCAGCAAGCTGTGTGGCTTGGTAGGAACCTTCTGGACACCCTAGGCTTGCACAAAAGTGGACACACTGACTCTGAGTGGAAGGAATGCAGTCAAGGGCTCTTATCCTTAGGCACTCAACTGTGCAAATTCTTGAACTGTTAGATGCCTTTCCCCCCTACTCATCTTTCCCCAGACTACTTCCTACCTCCTCTCCTCTATCAAGTCACCTATTTTTAGTGCAAGCTGAATGCTCTCAACCAATCAGAAAAAAAAGGTGTCTTCTGAAATTTGGTAAGAGGGAAACTTTCCATTCTGGTAGTCAGGAAACACACCTAGAAACAGAACCCTAACTGTGAGTCATATAGCGAAAACACAGAATAGGTAGTCAGTGGATCTGGGTCCAAGTTCTGGCTCCATCACTTGCTAGCTGGGCCTAGACCAGGGAGGCAGCATCTCCCAGCCTCAGTTTCTTTATCTATAAAGCCAGGGAGAAAAGTATCTCTCTCACCTCACAGTGAGAATGTGAAAATGATTTGTAAATTGTAACATGATGACTAAAGAAAGAAATGAATATTCTTTCTTCAGCTCCCTGCCACCCAAATCCTTTAAACCTTAAAGCAAAAGGAAAAGGCAAGTGATAAAGTCAGGAGGGTGGTGGCTCCTGGTTCTGCATAACAGGGAACAGAAGCACTAGGTCACCAGTTCCAGTGGCAGAAGTGCAAAGACCTAGGGCCTACTGGCAGGCGGGCAGAGTGGGGTTCAGCCTCCTTACACACGGAGACATCAGCTGCCAGGCGTGAGTGGGCCTGATGAACTCCTCTTCCCCATACACTTGGATGTCTGACCAAGTGTGACTTCATGCCAGCAGTGAGAGGCCCCTCACCTGTCTTCCTTGGGCAGTATGTACAAGGATGTGTCCACAGCTCTCTCTTCAATCATCCGTGCAAATCTCTTCAGCATGGGGCAGCTTGGGAGGCTGTGTGCCTGAAAGGGCCACATGGAGTTTTAGAAAAAAATGCCTCTCACCTACTGATCAGCTCCCATGGAACCTGCAGGAGCCTGTCTTCTCCTGGGAAGAGAAGACGGGCTCAAGAACAGCTATGTCTGTTAACAGCTCAAGAAGATATGTCTGTAAAGCTCTTCCAAAGCTATTACTAGCTATCTGAAGGCCAGGGGAAAAAAAAAAAAAAAAAAGAAAGGGTTTCTTCCCTTTCTGATGACTCCCCATCTACTCCAAAATGATTAGCATTTTTGTTTTTTGTTTTTTTTTGTTTTGAGACGGAGTCTTGCTCTGTCGCCCAGGCTGGAGTGCAGTGGTGCGATCTCGTCTCACTGCAAGCTCCACCTCCTGGGTTCACGTCATTCTCCTGCCTCAACCTCCCGAGTAGCTGGGACTACAGGTGCCTGCCACCACACTCGGCTAATTTTTTTTGTATTTTTAGTAGAGACAGGGTTTCACCATGTTAGCCAGGATGGTCTCGATCTCCGACCTCGTGATCCGCCCGCCTTGGCCTCCCAAAATGCTGGGATTACAGGCATGAGCCACCGTGCCTGGCCTGTTTTTCTGGGTTTTTTTTTGGAGATGAGTCTCACCCTGTCACCCAGGTTGGAATGCAGTGACGCGATCTCGGCTCACTGCAACCCCTGCCTCCTACGTTCAAGTAATTCTTCTGCCTCAGCCTTCTGAATGGCTGGGACTACAGATGTGCACCACGATGCCTGGCTAAATTTTGTATTTTTAGTAGAGACAGGGTTTCTCCATATTGGCCAGGCTGGTCTCAAGCTCCTGACCTCGTGATCCTCCCACCTTGGCCTCCCAAAGTGCTGGGATTACAGGCGTGAGCTACCATGCCCAGCCTGTATTTTTTAACTTAAAAAAAAAAAAAAAAGATGAATAAAATCCAAAGTAAGGAATTCATAAATTCCTACTTGACCTTCATTTTCCCAAAATGACTTCTAAAAAATACGCCATACAAATATATGATATGAACTCTTGCCTTCTAACCTTAAACCTGTTTTACACATAAGAGCAAGGTGCATTTCTGCCTTCAGGGTACACTGCCATTTTATTTTCACAAGGGAAGGAGGGAGGATCCTATACACCTTTGGATGTCCAACTTCTGAATCTAGAGAAACCTTTCCCATTATCAGTCTTCTTTATATATTTATTACAGAAAAAAAGATCCTATGGCTAAATAAGCTTAAGGAAAACAGACTTAAAGATTAACCAGCTTTCTTTACGAAGGGCATCTCAGATTTTTTTAATGTGTTGATGTACATATAGTACTCTCAAGAAGTGATACAATAAATAGGGATTCCAAAATTTTTAGACCCTACTCATCCCTTCCAACCATTGCCCCCACCTGCCCAAACACACACTTGCATATTGGGTGTTCTGGGGAACATGCCTCAAGAAGCTCTGGTCTAGAGTTCAGTGCCTGTGTTCCTACCTGGGTAAGGAGTCTTCCTTGATTGCTCCCTATCCCTCAGTCCCCACATCCATTCTATCTGCAGGTCCTATCACAGTTGCCTCCAAACCAGGAGGCCTCCACCCACTTCTCTCCCCCAGTTTTAACTCAGGAGCCAGCCCACCAAGGCTATTATCCCAGGCTCCCCAACCCCAGGACTCACCTGCTCAGCAGCCACATTGTCCAGGAGGATGAAGAAGTCCACTTCATCACTGCTGTCAATGCCCATCCCTTCCTTCACCTTTTTCAAATCCTCTGAGATTCCTGGCTGTAAAGAGGCAGTCTTCCTCCGGCCTCTGACAAAAAACCAAAAAGTAATGTCATATTCTATAGTGATTAACAGTTTACAAAGTGTGCTTCACACTTGGGATTATCATTTGGGATACCATTTAATCCCCACAACCCACTGGGGTTAGCTGGTATTATCCCAGTTTTATAGATGCATAAACTAAGGCTCTATAAGGTCAAATGAGTTGTAAACATAAGTTAGCAAGTACCAAGGTTAGGATAACAGGATGAATTTTCCAAATCTCACTCTAGCATTTGCATTATATAAAAAATGATGGAAGCATGGCCCACATGTGTCTGAAAACAGCATTCTCTTTTCTTTATGGAATGCCATATAATCTTAGTGCAGCCTAGAGATACCTAATAACTGAAAAGTGTCATCAGCCCAAACCAATCTACCCTACATAGAAACATATTGGTAGGAGAAGAAAAGTCTGTGTCTTCTTGGGCTTGTACACCTGGATTTGCATGTTAAAGACAGTCTCAATCATCTTTTATTTAACCTGTTGGTTTCCTCATCTGCCCCACCTGAGAGCCCCAGTTCATCAGGAGGATAATACTTTGTAAATGGCAAAAGCCCACTCGTGGCTGTATGTATCATCTTGCTAGCCCAACGTGCGGCTCTTCTCAGAATTCCTGACCTTCACCATGGGTCTGTCACTGTGAATAAGACTTCTTCACTTCCTAGACAGCTGATGTCACATTTAAGTGTAATTTAAACCTTCCCATCCATTATTCGCCAGTAGGGTAAGCCTGGGCAGGCCCTCAGTACAGACAGTTCTGCCAGCAAAGGTGGTAAAAGGCTGTCCCCCACTGGTGAGCAAGAAACCAGGAGCAGTTACCTGGTTCTCTGCCTCAGGCTCCAGCAGCTTTGGTAGTTGGGATACAAGACTTCTGAGTCTGCTTCATCAGTGTGGATGATGATGGGTCCTGGAAGAAAGGTAGGAAGCACAGGCAGGCAGAGGCTTCAGCTTGTTCTTCCCAGCATCTCCACCCGCTTCTCTTTGTCTACAGAGATGGAGCAGAGATCTGCTCTGAGAGGCAGATCATCAAGGTTACTCCTTAAGGACAGAGAATGCCCTCCACATGCCCTGGCCCTGCCAAAGGGGGCTCTCCTATAATCTGAGCAATGGAAAAAGTAAGTCACAGCAGCCTTGTTCTGTCTAGCACAAGCCCTCCTATTGGGCCACAAATAGACTAGAGCAGGTAATAGACCTGAATCAGACTGGCAACTCCCTGACCCTTTCCAAAAAATCCCTGCTATAAAGCACTACCAGCATCTGGGCATTCTAATAGAGTAGCATTATCAGAACTAAGTTACTTTCTTGCTTCCCGAAGCCTGATCCTATAGGCCACTATGGTGACTTATCACATAACAAACTGAGAAAAGTGAACGCAAGGCCACAGATCCTCTCAGAAACCCCATAGCCTTGCCCAAAATAAAAAGCCAGGCTTTTAGATGAATGGCTGGTCTAACCAAAGATCTAACCAAAGAAACTACAAACAATGTTTCTTATGTCTCTCATGGCAGCTCACTGCTGTTCACAGCTCCTCAGTACCGTTGTCCCCTCCTGTCAATGCCCAAAGAAGGTGTTCTAACACCTTCCCAGGCTTTGCTCTGTGCCGGAGATGGCAAGTGCCATCTCTGTGTGGTAGGTTCTTTTTCCACACCACTCAAGCCTGATGGCAAAAGAAGTAGCTCCCCAGCAGCAATTTGGGATTCACTGAGGTCAGTCTACAGAGTGATCAGCTGAATCAAAGTCCCTAAGGGGTATTTATTCCCAACTTATTGATAGTCAGAACCAAGGGCTTTAAAAGTAGCCTATAACTTCACTAGAATATCAGAATCCACACACACATCATTGGTCTGAACAGAAGAAGAAACCACACTGAAAGTCATGAGTTCAGTCTTCAGTCCACAACTAACCAGCAGAGTCGCCTTGGGAAGTCACTACTGTTCTCTGGGGTTCATCTGTACATCGAAGGGGTGGGACTGTATCAGCCACAGAACCTCCTCCAACCTCCCGCTATTGTGTAAAGCATAATAATAAAAGAAGAGGTGCTGATGGCTGCAAGGTGGAGATCCAAAGCATAGTCCACTTGTATGTCCCATCCCCTCCTTTTCTGTACTTTCTGAGACCCCTCTGAAGAATCCTGGGGTTCTGCAAGATGTGTTGTGAAAAGGACAAACCAAATGATCTGATGCCGCCTCCAGATATACATGTCCTCAAAGAAACAGTTGAGCATAAAAGGAAAAAGTAGGATTCTGAACCAAGACTGCCAGAGTTTGAATCCTAATTCCACCATTTACCAGTTTTGTGTCCCTGGGCAAGTCATTGAGTCTCTCTGTGTCTTGGTTCTCTTATCTGTAAAAGGGGATAATGATACCTACCTCGTAGGGTTATTACAAGAATTAAACAAGTTAATATATGTAAAGTTCTTAGAACAAAGTTTGTTGCATACAATTGGTCCTCCACATCCTTGGGTTCCACATCCATGGATTCAATCAACCATGGATTAACAATATTTGAGAAAAAAAGAACAATACAAAATAACATAATAAAAATAACAAATTAGAAAACAGTACAGGATAACATAGCATTTGGGTTGTATTGGGTATTAAAAGTAATCTGGAGATGGTATGAAGTACATGGGAGGACGGGCATAGGTTATGAGAAAAGCTATGCCATTTTATAAAAGGGACTTGAGCATCTGTAAATTTTGGTATCTGCCAGGGGAGAGGGTTGTCCTGGAACCAATCCCTTTTGGATACTGTGAAATGACTGTACTAGGTCCTTTATGTGTTAGAACTATGACTTAAACTTATATAACACTAATAAAATTATAAACCTCTAATATTTCCATCTGGGGTCTGATAATGCTGTCTGGATTTTGGACCCCCAGTTTATGATAAATAAGGCACACTTGAGTAGACAAATGTACACTGAGCAAATGACTGGCCAAGTGGGCAGACCAACAATCTCCAGCTTTCCCCACAGCCTGATTCTCTGTAGCTTACATGTAACCTCTGGGATTTTTCTAGGATTTTACTCCTAAAGCAATATCCCAAAGTTGCAGCATTTCCATCAACAGTGCCACCTTCTGGGATTCTTTTTTTTTTCCTGAGATGGAGTCTTGTTCTGTTACCCAAGCTGGAGTGCAGTGGTGTGATCTTGGCTCACTGCAAGCTCCACCTCCCAAGTTCAAGCAATTCTCCTGCCTCAGCCTCCTGAATAGCTGGGATTACAGGCGCCCACCACCATGCCTGGCTAATTTTTGTATTTTTAGTAGAGATGGGGGTTTCACCATCTTGGCCAGGCTGGTCTTGAACTCCTGACCTTATGATCTACCCGCCTTAGCCTCCCAAAGTGCTGGGATTACAAGCGTGAGCCACCATACCCGGCCCCTTCTGAGATTCTTTATTCAAGTCCCTTCATATAGGAAAGGCATGGAAGTAGCTAGGAAAGAAGTCAAACTGGAGTCCCAACACCTGTGGGTCCAGCGCAGGGAGCTGCTACCCAGACACCTGCACCTGAGGCTAGTGATTTCCTTCCGTGCTGGAAACCTGGGACATTCCCAGTCTGGGACTTGCCTAAAGAAAATGTTGCCACCAAGAAACATCTTTCCTTCTCAGTACCACTTCTGATGTTTCTAAGAAGATCTTTGCCTTTTAGAAGCTGAGCAATTGAGAGCTTTCAGAAGATCAGGTGCTGTGGGTCATTCCTAAACTCAAGGCCTCCCAAGAAGTAAGGGGCAGCCCAAACTGCTTTATGTTACCTAGACACGTACTGTTTGTGTGCAGCAGCCAACTACAGCCAGAACTAGCAACAGTATCCAACCCAGTTGGGGGTAAGACCAGACTCCTCTTTCCTGAAGGTTCTATTATTTTACATATTTCTTAAAAAGTGTGATGGAAATTTTGTTTCTATTTGAGGTACTGCCAAAAAGCTAAACAAAGTAACAAGAACCTTTGCTTTGTTTTTGTTTTTTTTTTTGAGACGGAGTCTCGCTCTGTCGCCCAGGCTGGAGTGCAGTGGCGCAATCTCGGCTCACTGCAAGCTCCGCCTCCCGGGTTCACGCCATTCTCCTACCTCAGCCTCCCGAGTAGCTGGGACTACAGGCGCCCGCCACTGCGCCCGGCTAATTTTTTCTATTTTTAGTAGAGACGGGGTTTCACCATGATCTCGATCTCCTGACCTTGTGATCCGCCCGCCTCGGCCTCCCAAAGTGCTGGGATTACAGGCGTGAGCCACCGCGCCTTTGCTTTGTGGTACCTGTTTAGTTGAGGCCATGATAATCTGAAACTCAGACCAGTGATTAAATGTAAATTTGAGTCAATTACAAATGACAAAATGAAGCTTCATGTGATGGCCAAAGGCTCTCAATACGTGGGATCCACGAGGGAAAATAATTAACTCAGTCCTTGGGGATGACAAGGTTAGGAACCACTGACTACAACCATTCAGGGGCTGAATATATCAAAACCCAAACTTGATGGACTTTCTCAACTAGGAAAGGCTAGACAGAACACTGTTCATGCTATGGATTATTACCAAGATTAGGGCAGTAGCAGCAGTGTTGGGGCCCAGTGTCCTTCCTTTCCAGCAATGTCTCACCTAAACAAAAAGTCCCCTCGATTGTTCACAAAACATGGTTAAGACTGCCTTGTGCAGCTTGTGTAGAAGCTGGAGGGGAGAAGCCAGGAGCCAGAGGCAGATCAGAGCAGCTGCTCCACTGCTGCTACTGTGGAGGTCAGGCTGGCAGGGGCACCATAAGGCCAGACAGGGAAGGACCCACCGGACTAGGTACACACTGGAAGTCACGCATGCAGGAGAAAAAAAATCAAGGGAACAGGCACCAAGAAAGAGACAGGGGCTTTGGAAGCGAGAAGCAAGAACCCCAGGGACAGGGACTGACTGGGATCCCAAATACGAACCTTCTTTCTGACACTGGAAAAGCCCAGCCAGCAAACAACGGGTGGACTCCAGATTCCGAAAAATGTTAGTGGAACGAATACTAAAAAAATGAGAAGACAGTGACAGTCATAAAAGGAATATTTAATTATATACACTCTTATTTTATTCCACAGAGGCTCCAGGGGTCTTTCAAGAGCACATAAGGAGAGCTATGGAACTAGGAAGAAAGCTTTACTTCTCTGTGGGATGTCTGCCCTCAAGAGACTCAAAGTCCAATGAATGTGACCTCCAGGAACTACCTGTTCACCAGATCCTGTGACATAAGGGTAGGCAGCATGACAAATTGTCCCCCAAACTACCTTGGGTGAGAGTGGGAACAATCTTTGGGAGTCAGGACAGGTATCCTCACGCTCAAGACCTTAAATTAAGTGCAACATCCCTTTTCAAGTGACTCACAAGACCTCCTGTGGGTTGAAGGTTGGTGAAAGAAAGGGAATGTCTTCCACATAGTTCTTCCTCAGTCTCTCTCCCAAGGCAAACATCTGCTGCATGCCCACCTTGGTCAGCTGCCCAGCAAACATGCCCCCCTAAAGTAGGGAAGAAAGAGAAAGAAGAATGAAAACACCTGACAGCCTGCTGAACTCAGCCCAGAGAAAACCACCCAACCTTTGCAGTGGGGCTCCCCAGAGCAAGGAAGCATTACTTACCTTCAGGGTGGTCTCACGGTATTGAGAGTCATAAGGAGAATATGGTTTCGGACCACCAGTTAGACTAGTGACTGTGTAATCAAACTGAGTTTGGGGTGGGACCTCTAATAGCTGCGGGTTCCACGCTACCTGTTAGTATCACACAAACAAAACAAAACAAAACAAAAACAAAAAAAAAATATTGTTTAAAAATGGTTCTTGAAATGTACTGCATTAACATCTCAAAGTACTCAGAACACATGGCTGGAATCACTGACACTAGGCCTGCACCTTCCCATGGGATGGAAGGAAAGAAATGTTAGCTGAAATTAAGGGAAGAAAAGACGGTGATTTATTATTCCAGGTGTCCTTAGCCTAAGTCCTGTTATTGCTACACTAGTAATGACTGCTAAGGGGCTGCTCTGGCACTTAGCCCACACTGAAGTAAAGGGGAGAAGTGACCAGAATGCCTGGCATGCGGATACATAGTGAATGAATGAAGAGATGGATGAAAGAAATATGATATCAGTGACCATATGTGTGTAAGAATTTATAAGGAATTAATCTGGAGGTTTCTATGCCGTATCCCAGCTTAAAGATTCTACTTAATGTCCCTTGTAACTACTACATTTTTCTCCTCCTTTCATGCAATTCGTGAAACAAGCAGCTGCCATCTAGGAAGATGTTGCTTTTTCATGATCTTCCGTTATTTCTTGCAATCTGGCTCCTGCCCCAGCTGTGCTGTAATGATTTCAAAACATCACTAGTGGCCACAGGTCTCCTAGCTCCAACTGTCCATAGAACTCTGACACTCATTGAGTCAGATGTGATGACTTCAATTTTAAAAACAAGTCTAATCCCATAGACCAGTTCCCCTTCCCAATCTATTATGTCCCTCTCAATGTTACCACAGTTCTCCTAGGCCCCAAACCTCATACCCTTGGCTCCCTGTGGATCCACCATCCCTACACCAAGCCCTGTTGATCACTGCCTAGAAGAAAAGTCCTCCCCAATGGTCCTTACATTATCTTATTGTACAATGTAAATTTTATTACTACAGGCAAAAGCCTGTGACAAACTCCTCCCTTTTACCTGCACAATCCATCCATCCATAGCCAACTAATTAATCTTTTTGGAAAAAATATTTTTTATTGCATTTAAATATTTTATATTTTAATTGACAAATAACTGTATATTGTATATATTTATGGAGTATAATGTGATGTTTTGATATACATTTACGTTTGATATATGATTAATGTAAACAAAATTTACCAGCTCACATGCTTTCATTTTTACATGGTGAAAATATGTAAAGTCAACCTTTTAGTAACATAGGCATACATCATTTTATTGCTCCTTACAGATACTGCATTTTTCACAAATTGAAAGTTTGGAGTAACTCTGCATTGAGCAAGTCTATCAGTGCCATTTTTCCAACAGCATGTGCTCATTCATGTCTCTGTGTAAAATTTGGTAATCGTCATAATATTTCAAACTTTTTCATTATTATTAAATCTGTCAAAGTGATCTATGATTTGTGATTTACTTTTTGTTTTGAAATGGGATCTGGCCATGTTGCCCAGGCTGATCCTAAACTCCGTGATCTTTGATGCTACTATTTTAACTATTTGGGAGTGCCATAAACCACACCCATGTAAGATGGCAAACTTAATCAATAAATGTTATGTATTTTCTGAGTGCTCTGCTGACTGGCTTTTCCTCCATCTCTCTCCCTCTCCTGGAGCCTCCTTATTTCCTGAGACACAACAATATTACAATTAGTCCAGTTAATAACCCTACAATGGCCTCTAAGTGTTCAAGTGAAAGGAGAAGTTGCAAGTTTCTCACTTTAAATCAAAAGTTAGAAATGATTAAGCTTAGTGAGGAAGGCATGTAGAAAGCTAAGAAAAGCCAAAGCCTATGCCTCTTACAAGTTATGAATGCAAAGGAAAAGTTCTTGGAGGAAATTAAAAGTACTACTCTGGTGAACACACAAACAATAAGAAAGTGAAACAACCTTATTGATAACATGGAGATATTCAATGCAGAAGAAACAGCCTATACAGGAAGAAGATCCCAGCTAGGACTTTCACAGCTAAAGAGAAAAAGTCAATGCCTGGCTTCAAAGCTTCAAAGGACAGGCTGACTCTCATTAGAGATTAATGCAGCTGGTTTCTTTAAGTTGAAGCCAAGGCTCACTTACTACTCTGCAAATACTACAGCCCTTAAGAATTATGCTAAATGTACTGACTGTGCTGTATAAATGGAACAACAAAGCCTGTATGGCAGCACATCTGTTTACAGCATGGTTTACTTAATATTTTAAGCCCACTGTTGAGACCTACTGCTCAAAAGAAAAAATGGATTCCCTTCCAAATATTACTGCTCATTGACAATGCACCTAGTCACCCAAAGGCTCTAATGCAGATGTACAAAATTAATGTTGTTTTTGTGTCTGCTAACACAATGTCCTTTCTGTAGCCCACGGCCCAAGGAGTAATTTTGACTTTCAAGTCTTTATTATTTAAGAAATACATCTTGTAAGGCTATTGTTGCCCTAGATGGTGATTCCTCTGATGAATCTGGGCAAAGTAAATTGAAAACCTTATGGAAAGAATTCACCATTCTAGATGCCATTAAGAACATTTATGAGGAGGAGGTCAGAATAGCAACATTAAGAGAAGTTTGGAAGATTTGATTCCAACCCTCATGGATGACTTTGAAAATTCAAGACTTTCGTGGAAGAAGTAACTGCAGATGTGATGGAAATAGCAAGAGAACTAGAATTACATGTGGAACCTTAAGTTTTGACTGAATTGCTGCAATCTCATGATAAAACTTGAATGCATGAGAAGTTACTTCAAAGAAGTGGTTCCTGGAGAGGGAATCTAGTCCTGGTGAAGATGGTGTGAACACTGTTGAAATTACGACAATGGATTTATTACAGAAACTTAATCGACAAAGCAGTGGCAGAGTTTGGGAAGATTGACTCCAATTTCAAAATAAGTTCTACTGTGGGTAAAATGCTATTAAACTGTGTCACAAGCTACAGAGAAATATTTCATGAAAGGAAGAGTCTATCAATGTGGCAAACTTCACTGTTGCCTTATTTTTAAAAATTGTCACAGCCACCCCAACCTTTAGCAACTACTACCCTGATCAGTCAGCAGCCATCAACTCAAGGCAAGACCTTCCATTAGCAAAAAGATCATGACTCACTGAAGGCTCAGGTGATCACTAGCACTTTTTAACAACAAAGCATTTTTTAATTAAGGTATGTACATTTTTAGACATGCTATTGCATAACAGGATACAGAACAGTGTAAACATAACTTTTATATGCACTGGGAAACAAAAAAAAAATTGTGAGACTCACTCTATTGCGATATTTGCTTTATTATGGTGGTCTAGACCTGAATCTGCAATATCTTCACGATATGCTTGTATATGTAGAATCTAAAACAGTCAAACTCACAGAATTAGAGAGCAGAATGGTGGTTATCAGAGGCTGGGGGGGCGTGCAGTGAATGGGGAAAGGAGAGATTTTTATTAATGGGTACAAAATTTCAGTTAAACAGGAAGAATAAGCTTTAGTGATCGATTGTACAGGATGGTGACTACGATAATAATGCATTGTATATTTCAAAATCACCTAATTAATCTTGCTAAGCCACTTGCATCTTACAGGTATGTAAGCTTTTTAAGCTACATACTTGTAGCTTAAAAAAGCTAAGACATTAGCTTTTTCCTAATGTCCCAGAGGTAAACATCTGTCCTTCAAGGACTTCTACATCATGGCTGGGTGCAGTGGCTCATACCTGTAATCCTAGCACTTTGGGAGGCTGAGGTGGGAGGATCACTTGAGACCAGGAGTACAAGATCAGCCTAGGCAACATAGCAAGACCTCATCTCTTAAAAAAATAAATTTTATAAAAGGACTTCTACCCCTTTGCCCAGCCCCTGTACTCAGCTTCACTGCTTCTCTCCTCCCCTGGTTGCCCACTGCTTTTGCAAAGATGCCTTCCAGCTTGCTTCTCTTGCTTGGAGGGACTCCTGTTCCTATCTGTCCATCACTTTGTTTTCAATGTTCAAGGATAGCTCAAATCTTACTTCCCCATCACTGACCACTCCAGCTTTCAATGGTTATCTTCTAAATATGAATTCCTATAACATTTATAATAAAAAAAATTTAACTCAATTTCCTACTACTTTGTTTAGTTTTAAAACTAACATTTAGAAACCTACTATGTCACATATCATCATATTTATCTTCATCCCTCCCAGAACTATCCCAGGATAATGGCACTGGGAGCCTCAGATTCTCTTTGCATAGAGGGAGCCCTCCATTCTTCCCAAAGGCACGTGTCAGTCCCACTGGCACCTGGTCTCCAACACCTGAACCTCCTTCTGACACATCAGAGGACCAGATGTTCATAGAGAGGCCTTCCTCCTTCTTTCACAGTTAATCACTTCTCCCTCTTTCTGACACTCTAAGCCCTCTGGATAAAAAACCCTTCAAGGATTCATGGCTCATGTGGCCCCACCTCCTCTCTAGCAGCCCCCTTACCACTTCTTCCCTATTCTACACACTTAACTCTCTAGCCACACAACTTTGTTTTCTTTCTCATATTTCAAGACCTTTCAGTATCATGTTTCTTATGCCTGGAATTTTCTTTCCTCATTCATCTAGAAAGACTTTTGTTCACTCCATAAGACTCAACTTAAATGTTCCCAGAAACCTTGGTCATGGCCTTATGCTTTCACCGTTGCTTCAGTGGCTCTCTTTAGTAGCCTTTACCAAAGTGTATTAAACAAGCTCCTTTATTGGTCTGTCCTGTTCAGTAGACTTGGCTTCCTGAGAACAGAGACTGGGTCATCTACTGACCTCTGTTTCCCAGCAAAGGGCCTCACACACAGTAGGTACAATTAATACCTCTAACAATTTGCCAGCTCTTGTAGAAGATACCCATCTTGAGAAAACTTGACCCTGCCTTTCCTGGGTTTTCAAGTTAGTAAAGAAAAAAAGGCCAGCTGTGAATGTAAATGGCAGCAATGCCATAATAGAAGCTGACATGTGCTGCAAGAAACCATACGAAGGCATAGCAGTTCAAAAGCAAGACAGACCTTCTCTTCTGGCTGGGGATTCA